TTTTTTAAATGAACGTTTTTTCGTGATTTAAAAAGTAAAAAAAAAATTAATAATAATTTTAAACGTCTTCAAAAAAAAAAAATTATTATTAACTATCACTTTATTAATAAATTTATTATTATTATTATTTTGTAAGTGCGTGTGCGTGTGCGTGTTTGAATATATCTCGACTGGATACGACTGGATTTTTTTCTTTTTTCTCCGGTAAAAAAAAAATACGCAATGTTTATAATGAATTCGTTATTCTTACGACGACAGTAAAAAAAAAAAAATGGCGTAACGACTCTTTCTTTCTCTCTCGTTTTGTTTATTATTTTATTCTATCGAACGATTTGATTTTATAGTTATAAAAACTATAACTATAAAAAAAAAAATTTATTTATGTCGTTGTAACGAACGAAATAAAAAATTTTAATTTTTAGTATTTATAAAAAAATACTTTCACCACCGAATAATTTTTTTTTGATTAGGAATCAAACTTAAAGAGTTATGAAAATAAATTTTTAAATCGTTTTTTTTTTTTTTTTTTTTATGAAAAAACTTTCACTTAATCCTTATTACTAAATTTTATATTATTCGTTTTGTTTTCTTTTGTCGTCGTCGTCGTCGTCGTCTTCGTACACAACATAAAAACGAGGATTATTATCTCTATGGTAAGTTATACCCGTGAAATCATTATAATTTTTTACGGGCGTAAAAATGTACGTAATATTATTATTATTATTTAAAAAATATATATTTTTTTAAAAACAATGTAATAAAAATTGATTTATTTACTTATTTATTTATTTATTTGATTCGGAATAATGTCTTTTTTTATTTTTCTATTTTTTTCTAAAACGAAATCGAAATATATTGAATGAACCCACGCTAAACAACATGAGATGTTTTGTTTTTTTTTTCTCCTTCGTATGCTAAACATCTAAATGTTTATTTTCGTTTTTTAAATGGTTGATTTCCTTTTTTTTTTTTCATTTTTACCCCCTCCCTCCCTCCCCCTCCCCCTCCTCGCAATCAGCCCCTTACCCCGAAATCGTTTTTTAAAACTCAAAATTATTTTTATTGTAAATGATTTAAAAAAAAAAAAAAGCCCGCGAAAATTTAAAATTTTCATCTTTGTTTACGTTTTAACGGAAGTCATAGAGTAATTAAATTTTCCGTTTGTTTTTTTTTTCATTTATTAAAAAACCGGCAACGTTGCATTATCACGTTTGTTTACCTAAACGTTTAGTTCAGTTCATTTCAAACGATTTTTCTTTTTTTTTTCCAACATTTCGTGACGTGAAATTAAAAAGAAAAAATTATTTGAAGTATTACCATAATTTTTGTTTACTTCTCTTTCATATTAAAATAATTATAAAGACGGTTAGGAAAAAAACAAAACGATATTTTAAACGATGCTCCCCCCTCTCTCTCTCCTTTTCATTTTTAATCGTTATTAAAAAAAATAAAATTTTAATTGGGCTCGCGACATTTTCTCATAATAATTTCCGGTTTTTTTTTTCTTTCATTTTACATTTCTAATCTTTATTTCTTCAACTTTTTATTATCATTAGTATTATTTTTTTACTCAAACCTGAATGAAAATTAAAAATGAATAAATAAATAAATAAAATCGAGGATTTTCCTCGGACTTTTTTTTTTTAATTTTCACAGGAGGACAGACACATTGAAACGAAAAAACGTTCAGGATGTCCTCCTCCCTCTCCCCCTCTCTCTCTCTCTCACTTTAATTATTTAAATTGTCGATTCGATCACTCACGAATAAATTTTCTCATTACACTCTCTTGTTTTTATCAACAAACCGACTTTTATCAAATTTTTAACGAACTGATATAAACGACACTACAATCCACTACTATTTACAAACAACAACTACAACGTAGTTCTATTATAAAAACCTTTTTTTAATGTTTTCAAAATCGTAAAAAATATTAAAAAAAAAAAAAAAAAAAAAAACTTTCAAATCATCCGGTCTTATTTTTTACAACAACAACAACTACAACATAAAAAAAAATCTAAAATAATAATAATAATAATATTTTATAAGTTCGTTTACAATCGATTGAATCGTATAAAAAAAAAAAAAAATTTTTCTTTTTTTTTATACGTTCGTAAATTTTATTTCTTTGATGTTTTCTTTTTTTTTTTTTTTTTTCGAAAACTAGTAACTACACGCATGTGACGACGATGATAATAATAATAATGATGATAATGATGATGATGTATAAGTAATAAATAAATAAAAAATGGTTGAATTTAATTTCGGACTCGAAGTCGTAAAACCAACGAAATAAACTTAAAAAATTATTTATTTATTTATTTGCATGAAATTAAAAAATTCGAGAAATAAAAAAAAAAAAAAAACTAAATTTCGAACGCCATGTTCTTATAATAATAATAATAATAATAATAACACGTTCGTTAAAAAAAAACGCATCGTAGTTAATAATAATAATAAAGTCGATAAATATTTTTATCACGTTGTCCGGTCTTGTGTGTATAGAGAGGGGAGAAAAAAAAATCTATTTATTTATTTATTTTTTGGAACTTTATACACATATATATTAACAAATAAAATGGCGTGACGTTAACTACGTAAATAATAATAATAATAATACTGAAAGAATAAAATTAAAAAAAAAAAAAAAAAAACTAAAATCACGAGTCACGGGAATAAAGTGCTCTCTCGTCAAATATTTGCATTTAGTTCACCACGGATAATTTTCATCATTCAGAGAGAGAGAGAGAAAAATATAAAAAAAATTTTTTTTTTATGTACATAAAAATGCGTATGTACATAATTATTTAAAATCGTGTGTCATCAATTACGTTAACTCAAAAAAAAAAGATGGAGATTATTAGCATTTGACAAATATTTCGAACGCATTAACTCGAAAAAAAAATTTTTTTTTGTTCCTGTCTAAACAAATTTTAATATTTATTTTTCACTCGTCGGAAGATAAAGTTAAAAATATTTAAAAAAAAAAAAAAAAAAAAAAAGGGAAAACGCGGCGTATTTGAATAAATAATGCGCGAGCATTTTTTTATATGTAATGGACACGATGAAAAAAAAATATGTATATATAATTCTATTCACGTTTTTTGGCATGATAACATATGCCATAAGATACCAACTACAAGTTTATGTGTGTGTGACCAACAGTTAAAATTTGTCCGAACACGTCGTCGTCATCGTCATCGTCGTCGTCGTCGTCGTCGTCGTCGAAAATCTACGACATTTGATTAATGCATGAAAAATTTTTTTCTTGCACTAACGCAAGTTTTCCTCTTCCGCTCTCCCCTCACCCCCTTGTTCCCCTCACAAAACCAAACATAATTTTCTTTACAAACAACAAAACAAAACGAGGTGTTATCAAAAAGTATTTGTTTTCATTTTACAAATAAAAAACATAATTAAAAAAATTATTTTCCTTTCGTATAGTTTTTTAAAACCTTAAATCTATGCTGATTTTTCCCCCCATTTTTTACGTCATCATCCTACGCGCGTTTTTTTTTTTTTTGCGTTTTATTATTAATAAATTAAATATAAAAATCTAAGAACGTGTCTATAAATAATATATAAAATTTATCCCGAGGGAATGGAAAGAGGAAAAAAAAAAAACTCCAACAATGAGTTTTTTTTAAACAATTAATTCCTCCTAAAATTTTTTTTTTTTACCCCCCACGCACGCACGCACGCACGCACGCGGACGCACACGCACGCGAATCGAGAATTCAGGTACGATAAAAATGATAATAAAATTCGATTAGATTATTTTAGACTTGAAGAGATTACAAAAAAAATTACGATTGTTCTTATTCGTTTGATATATTAATTATGTCGGCCATTGTTTGATAATAATATTTTTTTTTCACCGGAAGTAATAAAATTTCACGTGGAAAATTTTCGATGAAAATCGAACCTAAATCGGGGGGACGGGGGAAAAAAGGGAAGAGTAAGACATTATCATCATCATCTTAATTTATTAAATCGTTATCGATAAACGATAATTAATTATATTATTCAATTAATCCTTTCCTAACGCGTATGAATTTCATGCGAATGTTTTAAATTTTTTCGCGCTCTTTTTTTTATTTACAATATTTTTTTTTCTTTTTTCCCATAATAAATAAAATCGTTAACGATTATATACGCATACGGTTGGTAGAACATTTAACACATAAACAGTTCATTTCCGTAAATTATTATTACGCGGTAAGTAATTTATCAATACAAACAAATAAATAAATAAATGGAACAACAATGTGTGCGATTCGCAATTTAAATTCACGTATCGAGATCATTATTATTATTATTATTATTTTTAATGACGATAAAAAATTTCTATGGAACATTCTATACGATATTATTTATTTCGTACCAACAAAAATTCATTCGAAATTCCAACCGAAATAATTTTTCAATTTCTGGAATTATGGAGAAGAAAAAAAAAGATGGCGGTAGGGATTGTTTACAAAAAAAAAAAAAAAAATTTAAATTCGAATTTGATGGATTCGCAAGATGACGTCACACGCGAAAAAAACAAAACAATACGAAACGAACAAGAAAGAAATTACAAGTTTGCGTTCGTTTTTACCAAGCCTTTCTTTTCCTACTCTTCCCCCTCTCCCTCCCTCCTCGAAATAATAATAATAACCACCTGAAATTTAAACGTTTCGCTACCGAATCATATCACAAATTTTTTTTCCTTTCTTTCTACGATTTAGTAGTTGTTGTTGTAATTTTAAAGTAAATAAAAAAAAAGAATTTTTAAAATTTAAATTTTTTCTTTTTTTTTCCACGAGTGTGGTCGTCTGGAATAGTAATAATAATAATAAAAATTTTAATGGGAGGAATAAAAATTAGAGAAAAGTAATAATTATTAAATTCGGGAAGAGTTTCTATAATCGAAACAAACGATTTAAAATCGAAAATCGAAAATAAAAAAAATCGATTGTTCTTTATGAGGAACATTCTAGAAAATTTTAATTAACCGTCATTTTGTTTGTTTGCATAGAAATTTAAAAATGCCGCCCGTTTTAACGTTTTTTTCCTTATTGGATATACGTTTTTAAATGTATAGAAACTCACCTGATCCGGTCTGAGTCCCGGTGGTACCCAAGTATATTCTTCCAAAGCGCATCCGGAATCATCATCGCTCTGCGAATGCCTTTGAGGATCAAGGCCCAGGGGAACTCCAAAGGGAACTCCTTTTGTTAATAATTTATCCGTCGGATCGATGGTTAATGCGAGATTAACATTTCCACCGTAATTATTTGTAGATACGGTTGGAGCCGATATTGGAGGACCCGTACCTTGACCCAAAGGATTATTACTGCACATTGTTCCGCAATTATGATCTTCTCTCGGACACTTACAATTCCTACAAACTTTCCTGTCAAAACCAAAAAAAAAAAAAAATCAATCAACGGCAAACGTTTGTTGTTTGTTATTATATTCTACGACTAAGACATACATTTAAACCTATAAATTATAATTAACTTCTTTTTACTTTTGAAAATTATTCTCTTACAACAACAACAAAAAAAGTAATCAAGTAAAAAAAAAAAGAAAATTATCTCTCTCTCTCTCTCTCTCTCTCTCTCTCTCTCTCGGTGAGTTCATTTAAAACTTTTTATTACAGGAAAAGGTAAGTTAACGGTAATTTTTTTTTTTTTTCGTTACCTTTAAATTACTTTGCAAGGTTAATAAAGACATTACGCTCATGTTGTTTCATTGATAAAATTTTTCGACTTATTAAAAGTCGTCATCGATATTATTATTATTATCATTATTATTATTATTATATTTTCATTTTTTATTACCAATGAAATCGATAAATCGTCGATGATTAAAAAAATTTTTTTTTTTCCCTTTTTTTTTAACAACAATAATTCACGATTAAAAATCTTGTTTTAATACAAAAAACAAAGGTAAGAGGATGAAATTTAGTTTTTCTTCTGCTTTTCAAAACAAAACAAATCGAAAAAAAAAAAAAAAACAAACTGGATATTAAATAAATAAATAAATAAAAATGTAAGAAAATTTATTATAAACGTTTTTAATGGGATTTAAAATATAAAAAAAAAATTTATCGATTTTTCCCCCTCCCCTCCCCCTTCCTCCTACTCCCGTTTTCTTAAAGTTTTTTTATGCGTACGTCATCGAATATTTTTTTCCGAAGATTTTTAAATGAAAGTTAAAAATGAAAAAAAAAAAAATTTTTTTTTAATACGGTCGATGATTTTCTGAACGATTTCGTCCTTATCCTCTCCCTCTCCCTCCCCCTCCCCATTTCCCCTTCTTTTACCGAGTGAAAAGTTTTAATAACTTTTTTTTTTTCCCATCGATTAATTTTCTATTGTTTTTTTTTTTTTTTTTCTTCCCAATACTCAGACCAGATGTTGTTGTTGTTGTGGTTGTTTTGTCTTTAAAAAAAAAGAGGTAATTTATAAAGAACATAAAACGATATAAAAATACATTGTGCTTTTGTCATTTTTACCACCACCCTCCCCACTTTTCCTCCCCCCTCATTTTTTTTTTAAAAGTTACATCGCTTGGAAGTTAAAAATTTTCGAAACGTCATAAAAAAAAAAAATTAAATTTCTTACTAGTAATAAAAATTTATAATAAATTTTATCCGATTTATTGATTTTTTTTCATTTTTCAGTATCAACTTCAAAAATTTTACTGTTTTATTATCATTATCATCATCATCACCCTTTTTCCCGTTTTCTACAAGTTTCTGGAGAGGCGTTCGCTCGTTCGCTCGCGCGCGCGCAAAAAAAAAAAATTCTGTTGTTATCACGAAAATTAACGCTCCATTAGCTTCGTATTATATTTTCATTTAATTAATAATAATAATAATAATGATAATAATTTTCTCTCGAATGTTTATTATTATTATTATTAGTAAAATTTACGTAAGCGGTATCACATGTTTTTTTTTTCTCTCCAAAAAATTTCATATTCCAGAGAGAAAATATCCTTTTTATCTCACACGTACACGTTCAATTCCTCCAGCGTTCTTATCATTTACGAATAATAATAATAATAATAATAATAATAATAATAATAAAAGCCAACGGCCATAGCGTGCTGGTCACACCGGTTCCCGTACGATCACCGAAGTTAAGCAGCATCGGGCGTGGTGCAAACTTGGATGGGTGACCGTTTGAGAACGCCACGTGCTGTTGGCTTAAAAAGAGCAAAAAAAAAAAAAAATGAGAACAAGACAAAGTAAGAACCAAAAAACAAATCTTGTTCTACTGTCGACCTGAGGCAGCTCGACGAGAACGTGAATTTCACTGCTTCTGACCCTGGCCACTCCAAAGATGTTAGTCACTGGAGCCCAGTTCAGGAGACAAATCGTTCCCATCGAAAAAGACGGACTCAGGAAGACCTTCAAGAATTGATGTGGTGCTATCTTATAATAAGTGGCACCACCGAAATTCGAGTATTTGTCCCTAAGGAATCGGGTAGAAACCTCGGATAAATACTTAAAAAAAAACCCCGACAAGTAGCCTTGTCGTGTTTAATGGTGGATAATAATAATAATAATAATAATAATAATAATAATAATAAAAATAATAATAATAATAATTTGATTTTTTAAAAAATAGGATAAAAAATTTTGAAAGTAAAAGAGAAATAAAAACTTCGGGATTATTATGTTAATTTATTAATTATCGGTTGCCACCCCCCCCTCTGCCACCTTATTTTCAATTCGATGAGTAAAAATTTATAAAGTCGAAAAATAAAAAATACGTGCTGGAAAAAACTGGAATTTAATTCGAGGCGTGTATATACTCGCAATACAAAAAGGGAAATTGCATCTAGGAAAGGAAGGTGGGTGGGTGGGAAAGGGGGAGTAAGGGAATTTAGAGGAGGTTAATAATAATAATAATAAATAAAAGTAATAACCGGTTTGGCTGTAACAAACAATTCAGAAAGTAAAAACAACCTACTGGAGAAAAAAAAATTAACAAAAAAAAAAAAAAAAATACTCGTCGTATAATCGAGATTATACCGTTTAACCAAAATGACTTTTTATCATTATCATCATCATCATTATTATTATTATTTAAATTAAAATTAACGCTTTAAAAATTTATAATTTATAATATATATATAGCGACGTAGAATTTTTTTATTTGACCACTTGACCTCGTTCTTTCCTCGTTCCAGCTCTTTGTTAAACTGGAAAAAAAAAATTTTTTTTTTTTTATTAAAAAATTTCATTCTTGTCGTTTAATTAATTTATTTATTTTTGCCAATTTGTTTTATTTTTATACGCTTTGTAGCCTGGAAGCGATACAAACTCTCTCGCGCACACAACAAACACAAACGAACAAACAAACAAACAAAACGAAAAAAAAACGCGCGTAACGATTTCGATTTTTTTTCCTCGTCTTGTAATAAACCCAGCGACATTTTTTGTTTCTGTACATGAAATTAAAAATTTATTTAATATTTTCATTCATTTAATTTTTTTTTTTTACCTTCAACCGGAAATGCCACAATCAAAACGAGTAAAAAAAATAAATTTATTAATCGATTAAATAATATTATTAATAAGTTTTTTATTTATTTATTATTTAATTTTTTAACAAAAAAAATTATTAATTTAATTTAACGAAATCTCTTATTAAATTATTAATTAATTTCTTTCTCTCTCTCTTTCACTAACTCTAACCATGATCATAATCGAATTTCCGGTTCTTATAATATTAATAATATTAATAATACTCATCATCATCATCATCATTAAATATTTTTCATTCGTTTTTTTTTTATTTTTATTAATTAATTATTATTTTATTTGATTTTTACGAATTTTATTTAACTTCCACGAACGAAATTATTTATTAATTTAAAAAAAAAAAAAAAACATTAATAAATAATTTTATGTTTACCCCCTTCTCCCACCCCTTCCCGTAATTGTGTTTTTATTAAAAAAAAAAAAAAAACCTGTTAAACGTTTCAACCTAACTCGTACCTGATTTTTTTCTTTTTTTTAAAAAATAAAAGAAAATAAAGTTGGGTAAAAAAAAAAAAAAAATTCAAAAAATTAATGAAATTCATTATCGTGATTTAAATTATTATTATCATTATTATCATTATTATTATTATTATTATTATTATTATTCTTTTATATTAAGAGCATTAAAAAAAAACCGGTCAATATAATATAAACTTGGTGAGAGTGTGGCAAGTTCAAATAACTCGTTGCGCTCGTAGCAATGATTGTAAAAAAAAAAAAAAAAAAATCAAAACTCAAATCGATCGAACGAAAAAAAAAAAACAAAAAGAAAAAAAAAAAAAATGGAGGCATGACCGCCGACACACCGTATCGTACCGCTACCTCTGCCTCCCCCGCACCACCGCACCACCGCCATCAACATTTTAAGAATGTTAAAAATAAATGCAACTAGAAGGAATTGACCGCATCATTAGAATAGTAAAAAAAAAATTGTTGAAGTAAAAACCGCAATGTTATTATTATTATTATTATTATCATTATTGTTGTTGTTGTTATTATCATCATCATCGTCATCATCATCATCATTATTTCTTTTTATCCTTTGAAACTTCTCCTTATATTTTTCCTTTTGAAAATTATTTACAACAACGTAGGACACACAAACATGAAAATTATTATTATCATTACTATTAAATTTTTTTTCTTTTTAGTAAGTTTTTGTTAATCCGCCATTTTGTTTTTTTACTTTCCAGATTATAAAAAAAAAAAAAATTTGTCGACAACATTTCAAATTTTTTTTTTTTTTTATTAAAATTTCCAAAAAATTTAAAAAATTAATTATTTTCAAGTTTAAAATTTCACTCCGCGTGGTGAAACGATCAAATCAAAAAATTTATTCTTTGATATATGAAAACAAACAATTTTATGCGCGTACAAACAAACAAACAACAACAACAACCACAACAACACAAACGTTTAATATTATTATTATAATAAACACGTTCGACTTGTAAATAAAAAAATATTCTACGCGGTCAACATTTAAAATTTTTCGTTATAAATTTGTAAATAACGAAAATATTGTCTTAACATCATCTTCGTAAAACCTTCTAGAACTTCTGTGTATGACGTCACGAAAAAAAAAATTTTCATTGATTTTTACATATTCTCTCTCTCTCTCTCTCACTCTCTCGCAATTTCTACGTTGCGTGAAAAAAATAATTCATGTGATTAAATAAATAATTTATTAATTAAACGCCAAACCGAATTTATTTAATTAATTAATTTATTTATTTATCAACCGATAATTAATTTTAAAATTAATATCATTAGCATTATCATTATTATTATTGTAGAAAGTTTAATATTTAGACTCGCTCGAATTAAATTTTTTTAATAAAAAGTAAAAAAAAAAAAAAAAAAATGTAAAATAAAAAAATTTTCTCACACTTGGTTTGTCGTAAACGAAACATAACATTTAATTAACTGGTTATTT